AGCACCGCACCGACTACGACCGCGAGGCGCTGCTGGGCGGCCAGGTGAGGCTGCGGGCCGGGGCTGGGAGGGCGGCCTGACTCTGGGCGCCGGGCGGGGCGCCCCTCACCGGGGGACCCCGGGCCCGATCCCATCTCCCCTCCCGTAGGAGGCAAGAGCTCTGAGGGCGTGTAGGGACGGGGGCCTCGGAGATCGGGTGCGAGTCACCCCAAAACCCTCGACTGGGAGGCTTTTGGGAGCCGTATTTTTCTCCACCATTTTGCTCCATTGATAGTAATGCTTGGACCCCCCCCTCCCCCCGTGTGTCGCTTACCTCCAAAGGAAGAAGTCGACGAATATGTTAAACTCACCTCCGAAGAGCAACAGAAAAGACTGAAGTCGATCATAAAGAAAATTGACTTGGACTCAGATGGCTTTCTCACCGAAAGTAAGGGCGTCCTGCAGAACTAACAATGGACACAGAAACACAAACATTTAAGAAGGGGTGCCTGTTGAGGGTACATTGCTAATGTTCTAACAAATTAAAAGTACTGTGAGGTGGTACAAAGGACATAGTGAGTAGGTTTTATACCTGAAGATCTTTATTTTAAAATTAAATTTATTGGGATGACATTGGTTAATAAGATTATATAGGCTTCAGGTGTACAGTTCTGTGACACATCATCTGTATATTGCATTGTGTGCCCACCACCCAAAGTAAAATCTTCCATCAGCATATATTTGACCCCCCTTACTCTTTACTATTCCCCACCCCCTTACCTCTGATATACCTGGAAATCTTTAGACATAGGATACCAAGTAAAACTCGGTGCTTTCTTTCATAATATATAAACACCATTGATCCTACATGTATGTGTAACTCATACCTCGAGCAAACACCTATTCCTCATGTGACTTTCATCAGTGTCAACAATGTAATTCATTTTAGAAAAATATGCTAAAAACCAATTTAAGGCATTAAGTGATTTATTACTCTTTTGATATATGCTTTTTTAGAATTTTAATAGTTTGCTTCTTTTTACAAGCAAGTAGAAAAAGACCTATTGCATGTAAATTCTGTTTATCACAAATTATTACAGCTAGTAGGAGCCCTAGAATAATCTTGTCCACCTTTCTTTGTAGAGATGAAGAAACTGAAGTTCAGTGGGGTAGATGCCTTTCTCAAATGAGTGGCAAAGCCAGGACTAGAATCCAAATCTGATATTAATTCAGTTTTTAATATTTTTCACTTAAAAAAAAATCTGGGTGCTCTTAGGTAGATTCTGTAGTCAGAAATGAAATGCACAGATTATTAAAAGAATATTTTAATATTTAAAAGGAGATAGTTTGCTATAACCAGTTTTAATGTGGCTCAGCATCTAACAGATGAAGTTGCTGGAGAATTACAAACTGATAAATTTAAGATGTTTTGTCAATAAAGTATTCACATTGGTGCCTTCAGGAGTATTGAGGTTTTGGTTCTTGCTACTTAAACAACAAGAAAACCTTATACTCTAATATCCAATAAGAATGGGTCCATCTTTGGTTATACTAGAAAGCAAACTTTTTAAAAATTTAAAGTTAAAAGGAACTTAGTCCAAATGTTCATTTTACAGATAAGAAAACAAAACCTTGAGAGGGTAAACATCCCCTTATGACAAAGCTGAAGTGAACCAATGTTTCTGGTTACTGTGCCATTCTGTATTCTATTGTGCCATGATGAGCTCTTTAAATAAACTAGAAGAAACCCTCATTCTTGAGGACCCTTCGGGAAATTTTGCCTATTTTCACTTTAAGGGCCAGGACTAGACTTAGGTTCTTGAGAGACACCAAAGGTCAGTAGAAGGAGTTTGGGCTTTTAAGCCAAAGGTAGTGTTGAATGTGTACTCTGCTACTTATTAGCTGTGAGTCCTCAAATGGAAACCTTACTTTCCTGAACTTTATAATAGTGATTATAGCCCGGCCAGGCAAGGCTCAGCTGTTGAGCGTCGACCTAGGATCCAGAATATCGGGATTCGATTCCGGGTCAGGTCGCATGCCCAGGTTGTGGGCTCGGTCCCCAGTTGGGGGCGTGCAGGAGGCAGCCGATCAATGACTCTCTCATCATTGATGTTTCTCTCTCTCTCTCTCTCCCTCTCCCTTCCTCTCTCTGAAATCAATAAAGATATATTTAATTTTTTAAAAAAGTGATTATAATTGCCTTATTTTGAAGATTAGAGAAATGTATATAGACAACCTGTTATATAGTAATTCTTTAATACATGGGTGCTCTATAATTATTCTGCCCTGATTAAGAATTTCAGAGTCATGATTAAAGGGAGTATACTATAAACAATGTTTCTTAAACTTCAGCCACTTGAAGACCTTTTCACATTGTAGCCCATATCTATTTACCATCTATTATTTTCTTAGTATAGTTTTGATTCAACTCAATGTTAAATTTGTTTTAAAGGAAAATACATGAGAAACATTTTTTTCTAATACTTATTAAAATGAATAGGTAGTTATTCGAAGATTTGTGCTTCATGAGAGAATTGTGATAGCAAAGGTTATCTGCAATTTTATGGATATATTTTTTTAAAAGTCAAGTGCTATTTTGACCAATTGGTAATTCATTTAATAATACTTATTTGGCCAGGGGCTTCCTAGGGATTTGGAGAGCCTGAATGAACAAATCATACATAAACTCTCTGCACTCAAGGAGCTTACAATCCCTTTAGATCACATACTATAATGTAAAATTGTAGTTATACTCCAAAAGTGACCCAGCTCCTCCTATTTCTATGGATACGGCCAGGCCAGTTCTCAGTATTTGCAAACACTGAAAGTTTCTTTGTTTGTTTTGGTTTCTTTTAGAGATGGTTTAGAAATCCTAAGTATGAGAGTTACTGTTAATATCTATTGTGCTCTGGGAAACTCTCATAGGTGAACTCAGTTCATGGATTCAGATGTCTTTTAAACATTACGCTCTGCAAGAAGCGAAACAGCAGTTCGTTGAATACGATAAAAACAGCGACGGTAGTGTGTCGTGGGACGAATACAACATTCAGATGTACGATCGTGTGATTGACTTTGATGAGAACACTGCTCTGGACGATGCAGAAGAGGAGTCCTTTAGGCTGGTGAGTGCATGTGCACAAGCTGTGCCTTTTAATCACGTCAGTTTACTTTACCTTCCTGCATGAATGAGCACTAGGGGGCCCGAGGTCATAGACCGAATTGCCTTGTTTTCTAAGCAATCGCCTGTTCCATTTCAGTGGTCGTTTTGATGGTTTCCTTTCTAGCTAGGTTTAGTGCTCTGATTTGGGACTACGGAAATGATCCTTCCATCTCTTTCTCCGCTGTTGTCATTTGTCCTCATTTCCAGAGTGGCTTTTTTTAGAGTGTATTTTGAATATCTCAATATTTTTTTATGTTAATGAATGAACAGTTTTATATCATATTTACTAAGAAGATTATTAGAAGCCCATTCCCATTTATAAAACACATAAACTCTTTTTTTAAAAAATATATCTTGCATGGCCGGGTGTGGCACAGCAGTTGAGCATCGACCTAGGATCCAGGAGATCGCTTTTCGATTCCCAGTCAGGGCACATGCCCGGGGTTTCAGGCTCAGTCCCCAGCAGGGGGCGTGCAGGAGGCAGCCGATCAATGACTCTCTCATCATTGATGTTTCTCTCTCTCCCTCTCCCTTCCTCTCTCTGAGGTCCATAAAAATATATTTGAGGGGGGAAAAAAGCAATGGGCTATCTAAATAAAATAAATTTTTTCTGTATGGAAGTCTGTTAAAAACAAAAATCAATTGGATACCCGAGTTTTATCTTATTTTTAATGTTTCCATATAGAGAATAGAGAGAACTTGAAATAATGACCCTCTCAAGCTGTGAAATGCCTGAAAAATCATTACTTTATGATATGATGAATAGCTATAGTCAGCACTTTTAAGCAGGATAATTAAAGTTTGGGGACCTCCCTGGCAAAGGTTCTGCTGCTCTGACTTGTAAACGAGCTACTAAATGTTCACGTATAAGCAATACTTGTTTATGTTAAATATAATCTTACATGTGGCTAATCGGAATTAAGACCTAGACTTTCATTCTGGTATCACAGATTATGTATTTATGTAACATCATTGGCCTACCCAAACCTGGCAGTTTTGTTCTTCACAAGTTTCTCTTACGATATAGAAATAAACGATTATTGATAGTTTCTATCTTTTTACGACTGTGTGTACTGTTTTCTGTCATCCACTAGAATACAAGGTTTTTATATTGAAGAAAAGAGTGTCGAGGTTTTAGGAAACTGAGGATCTCTTGTATTATCTTTTTAGAAATTTGCCACTTTGGAAAAACAGTCTTTCTGTGTATTGGCTTCTTGAATATGAGTTGCACTTAAATTGTGTTCTTCAAATGACCATGAATAAAACTGCTTTCACGAATCACATTATTTTGATTTATTTAAATAATCTGAGAAATGTGAAGCAGAAAATGACTTTTCTTCCCTAAAGAAATCTCAGTTTGTTGAAAGAGATCCTTTTTTTATGGGCAAATTTGGCCAAATTCCTCTCCCTCTGCTGAAACATGGACCTTTTTGCTCCAAATTGAAGGGTTCTTTCATAAGGAAATCTAAGCACTTAGTATTTTGAATAGTGGTTTATTTAAAAAGAACTTGATTGTCTCAACCAAGTACATCAAGTTCTTGTTTGTCTATTTTTGCCTACGTTAAACCGTAACATAAAATGTAAATTACTTGGTCTAGTTATTTAAAATTATGAAAGATTAACATAATAGCAGCTATTTGGAAACAAGTCTTTTGTTTTTGTTTTTTCTTTTCTATCAGAATTGGGTGCGTATAACTAACTGGCCAGTGGAATATGAATGTTTAAAAGATGAATTCTTCAAGGGAAGAAATGAGCCTCTCCTCTGTAAATCAGTCATTGTAAACGAAGTGTTGTTTCAGTAAATGAGTGCTACCTAACTTCTATTCTAGAACATGGAAAAGAGCAATTTCTTTCTGTCAGTGAAACGTGAATTAAAAGCTTCTAAAATATTTGAAATTAAGCTTTTTAAAAATGTGCAGTTTATACACAATCATTTTATAGAAAATTATTCCCAGAAATTCTCAAAATAGAATTTATGCAGGATTAGCAATATAGCACTGTTGACTTCCAAGGCTCTTGATTACAGAATTAGCTTTGAGAAATGAATTAAAAGTACTCTTGTCCCTAATAGCTGCTACTTGATTTACTACTTGTGCGTACTTTTTAACAAAAGGAAGATGGGTGTGAGAAAGTAGACACAAGTGTGTCTATTTAACCTCAAATTTCAGCTTTTGATTTCCCTGTATCTGAACATACAGAATTAGCACTATAAAGACTCTAAGAATAGACTACTGAATATTATATACATATATCAAAAATATTTTCATAAGAGGATTATTTCTGAAACCTGGTAATATATTTTTGAAAGGCCATTTTGAAGACCAGAAACAATTTTAAAATGGCATAGCAAGAATTAACACATTGTGTGAATTTATTGCTTTTTGGGCATTCCAAAAATATTGAGACTAATTGTTAAAGAAGAGAGTGTGTAGTATGGAACGGATCCAAGTTCAATATACTTTAGCTGTATATCTGACATCCCTTTCAATAAATCAATAGTAATTTGTCACATTTGTTAAATACTTAATACTTAAGGTTTACTAGATGCTTAATAGAGATTTTATTTTTTATTTTTTTAATTATAAATTATTCTACTTATTTAAACTAAAAAAACAACAATAACTGTTCACCCATTTCTGCGCCCCACCCCCTCTGTTAACCACCAGTCTGTTCTCTGTATCTATTTTCTCAGCTTTTGTTTTTAGTTGTGTTTTATTTTTTTCAGTTTCCACCTATAAGAAAGATTCCCCAGTATTTGCCTTTCTCTGACTATTTCACTTAGCATAATTCCCTTAAGGTCCATGCATGTTGTCACAATGGCAAGATTTCATTCTCTTTTTGTTTGATTGAATAATATTCAGTATTGCTTATGATTATATATTATGATGAGACCTTTAAACATGTTCAATATTTAATTTTTCAAGCTTCATTTAAAGGACAAGAAGCGATTTGAAAAAGCTAACCAGGATTTAGATCCTGGTTTGAATCTTGAAGAATTTATTGCTTTTGAACATCCTGAAGAAGTTGATTATATGACGGTAAGAAAGAGAAATTTTAAGAGGATTATTGAATGACCAGAAGTTTAAAACCTGTTTTCACTAAGTCATTAAAATGAATTGTATAGCAGCCAGAATTTTAAGAGACAGGAAGATTTAAAGTTCTCCCAATTTAAGATTTGGACTGGGAAGGAAGGTTTCTGGGGGTAGGGGGTGCTTATTAGGAGGGAAAAGGTAAAGAACTGAGTTTTTTTAAAAAAATCTCTGTAATATATATGAGCATCACTCCTTGGCTTTCAGACTTTTCTCTGTTTTTTCTATATTAAAAACATTAAAACTTCCTATTTAATTTATAACATCACCTGTGAAAACTTTTAGTCTTGGAAATGTGTCACGTTTTGGATCTCTTCTCATGGGGTGCATACAAGCAGAGCTACTAATGACTAAAAATGTTTTTGCAACTTTAGGCATAAAGAGTCTATCATCCCTGTAGTACTTAAAAGAAATACCAACTCTTCAACAACTTGTTGCGCTCTGGGTTTAACTCGACAAACACTGATTGAGTCCTATGACTTGGCAATCTCTACTCTCATGTTGGAGAGTAGAGATTAATGTAACAAAATAGCTTTTAAAAATAGACTAAACATTTATATTGAGGTGTGCTGCCTGCATCAGCCTCCAGCCGTGCGGCTTTGTGCCCTGGATATTTCAGGGAGGGACAGGTAGCTTTTTGTTTGTAGGTCATGGTCAGATGCTGCCTTAATAACAAGGCTGCAGATACATTTTTTGCCGTAGCTTAGTGGCAAGACCATTAGTACCACTTCTCTTGCCATTGTGAGGCTTTTGACTTCTCACTTGGCACAAAATACATGACCTAGTTTAAGAACAGTGCTGGATGCAATTGACTAATGCCAAAATTCAGCCGAGCGGAGCTGCTTGCGCCCCATCAGGGCAGGCAGAGGATGCTGGGCTGTGTTTCTCTGGGACATAAAGAACAGTGAAGACTGGGAATGGGGATGGCCAGTGATAGCAATGAAATAATTGAGGCATTTATGTGTTTTGGTCTGGAATTCAGTGTGGCAGTGGGATTAAATAGATGTGATCAAAATTTGAAGAAAAGTATAAACAGGAACGTTGAGTGATTAAGGAAGTATGGGAAGAGTCAGAGGGGACACTGAGGCTCTGAGCTTGTGTAACAGTGAAATAACGGTAGTGCTACAGACAGGAGGGGGTGCGTTGGGATGCGGTGGCGCGGAATTGGAGTTGATGGCAGCGCTCGAGATGAATGACCGATCATAAGGATGGAGAAGCGAGGGAAGTCTTGGGAGAGGCCAGAGCTAAGCTTAAAGGAAAGCGCTCAGGATGTGGGAAAGTGGGGGCTCTGGAGGACAGTTGAGGGCTCTGCCCAAGATGAGAGATGAGAGAGCTTTAACTCCTGAGACCAAAGAGAAAATTGAGTGGAATGAGCATAAAAGTAGAGGTGATTTAAGGTGCGGGTACAGCGCTGGTAAATAAGCATTTCAGAAGAACTGGACCACGTTTGGAAACAGAGGAGAGGGTCTTTGCCAAGAGAGTGTTGAATGCGTTGTGGTCAGGCTCAAAGAATGGAGGTTTCAAAAATCAGCTATAGAGTCTGGGTTAGGGATACAGAGGCAGAGATAGACCCCAGGCTGCAGAGAGAGCCCACTGATGTGGCCCAAAAGAGTAAAAGGCCTAGGCTTATGCATTCGTATCTCTTCTAGACTTTAAGGCTCTGAAATGAAGGAGATGGTGATGTGCTTCTGATGTGCTGAGTGGGGATCATCATTAGAAAAGGGCGAAAGGATATAGGAGACTGATAAAAGAAGTTCCCCAAGCAGCTGGCTACCCACAGGCCATCTTGTAGACATAGAAAGCGTGTAATCTTTGTGTTTGAGGGAAGGATTGGTTGGTGAAAAGCCTTGATGAAAGCGAGGAACAGATTTAGGGGCAGTTTGGGGGGCATGGGAGTAGATTTGGTAGAAGAGGAGGCAGGGAGGTGGGGGTTCCTTGGGGCCTGGACACTTTTTAGATCTGGAGATAGAACAATAGTTCTACTCAGAGAGATTTAAGAGAAAGATTCTGGGCTGTTAATGGATTGGAGGAAAAGTAGAGTTAAAGACAAGGGTAGTAAGAGACATTCTTGAGCAGGGGACTGTGCAAAAAACAGGAATAATGTGAGTTTAGTGCTGAGGTTTGGGCGGGGGAAGTGGAGTTATTAACAGCAGAAGCTTAAGGATGTTGAATTTAATAGAGCATTTGGTGGTGACTTGTTCCTGCTTCTAAACTGCAGCGTTTGCAAGCATAGACAGTCCAAATGATTACTCCAAAAGAAGTTCTGCAGTAGGAGTGATTCCGACAGTGGTGAGATTGCAAATTTTGTTACTAATTTATTTTATGCGATAGGAATTTGTCACTGAAGAGGCTCTAGAAGAACATGACAAAAATAGTGATGGATTTGTTAGTTTGGAAGAATTTCTTGGCGACTACAGGCGGGATCCAGGTAAGGAGCCTGCAGGTGTGTGGAAGGGGGGAACAAATGGAATTAAAAATGAAAGAAAATGGGACTGGAAGAGCTTGCCTGATTTCTACTTGTTTTGTGGAGTTAAACAAACATAGCTAAGGGACTTACAGCTTATCACAATGTAACCTGGATCACTTTAGTCTCACGTCTAGATTCTAACGTGTCTTCGTTTTCAGACAAATATAATGTGATTATGAAATCAAATGAGGGAGGAAGTAAAGGTTGATATTTTTATAAGCAAAATCCTGTATCTTTGTATGTAGATCTTAAAAGAGAAAGAAATATAAAATACTATGAATACTGGTGTAGGCTGTGGAAGGTGACTTATGATTGTTTGAAATTTGAGGAGCTTATTTATGCAGTCTTTTCCATAAACAGGTTTTTGTTTTGTTTTGTTTTCTTTTTCTGAACTGTTGCTTAAAAGCATCCCTTATTGTTAATGTCACTTTAAAATTACGCACGGCATTACTTTGTAAGAACATGTAGGAAGCTTTGTATAGTTACGTGACATGTGTAAAAATATTACACAGATCAAATTTGGGAAAACTAGATACCAGAACAAGGTGCAGTTAACAGAATTACTAGTTTGTGGTAATATGCAACAATTTAAAAACTTGGAGTTGTTTAGACCTGTGTGTCACTTGAAAATTACTGTATAGTTTGTATTTATTTTAGTACTTTTCAGCTAAGTATTTGTTTTTTTGAGCATCCTTTATGTAGTAGGCTTTAAATTAATTTCCTTTATTCTAGGGATATATCAAACTTCTTATTATATACATGTGATATTCTTGTGTGTGTATATTTATTGTTGACTTTTTTTTTAATGTAAATATTAAGCAGCAAATGAAGATCCAGAATGGATACTTGTTGAGAAAGACCGATTCCTAAATGATTATGACAAAAACGCCGATGGCAGGCTTGATCCTCAAGAGCTGTTATCTTGGGTGGTACCCAATAATCAGGGGATTGCCCAAGAAGAGGTGAGTGTGACAGAAGAGTGACTTTTCGCCCCCTGCATATTTGTTACTATTGATAGAAAAGGAAGTTCAAAATTTTAAGCCAAAGAAAGAAATAATTAAGTTATTTATTTAGGATCAATGCATTGCCATTTCTTGATTTAAATCAATGAACTGTTTTTGACCGTCAAGGGGACAAGGAAGTTAATATATCATGTATTCATTTGATAGTACAGTTAGAATAATAAAATCTGTATTTGCCTATAGGAGCTCAAAACGGGTTTTACTCATTTTGCTTAACTTTGCAATATCCTGAATCAGAGTTGAGTTGAAAGGAGGCAGAACCCACCAGAAATTAAAAAAGATAATGAGAGAAGTGGTAGACAGACCGGTTACAATGTGTAATGTTTTTAGATACTTAGACAATAATGAGTACTTGAATGGAGTAATAATTACTTTGGTCAGTGATTCTTTTATTGGTCACAGACTCCTTTAAAAATATGATGCAAACTATGAATGAATAAAAATATGGGTGGTTTTGACAAGCGAAATCCCATTGAAATGTGAACATCTTACTGAAACTACTTACTACATTGACCCCTCTTTATTTTGTGTCCAAGGCTCTTCATCTGATCGATGAAATGGATTTGAATAGTGACAGAAAGCTCTCTGAAGAAGAGATTCTGGAGAACCAGGACTTGTTTCTAACCAGTGAAGCCACAGATTATGGCCGACAGCTTCACGATGAATATTTCTATCATGATGAGCTTTAATCCCTGGATATATGTGAGCAGGGTACTGGCTCCTTTTATAATTTGTTACCAGCATTACTTTCGTGATAAAATATTGATAAGATTATTTTCTACTCTGAAGTCTTACAGTCAAATGTATCTTAATGTAGATGATAATTTTGGCCTTTTAGGAGAAAAACAAAACCAAACCTTGATATTTATTTCAAAAATGAATTGAAGAGAGAAACAATATTGTGCCATATGACAACAAAGTCTTTCCAAAATACTCCTTCAGTTTAGTACTGTGTTGTGGAATATTTTGAGTTCTATTTCCATACGTGAAAAAATGGAACATTTTAGAGATACCTGAACAATATTAAAGGAGTATGTGACTGAGCTATTAATTTTTCTTTGTTTAAGTAGCATTAATTTGGGAACTGATGGGAGGACATTGTTTTTAGATTTAGCATTTTGTTTTAAAACCTTTAAAGGAACCTATAGAAGGACTTATACCTCACATATAAGTTGAGAAGTTCTATGTAATTTTAAAATGGTTTCTATAAAGGGTTTTATTGTATGAAATAGAACTTTATATTTTTGAATACGTATAGATAGTAATTATATTTAATGTGTAACTATAGCTCTATTGTGTGTGGAACTTGACATTGTGTAGAACTCTTTTCTTTTTTGACTGATTAAAAATGAAATGTCCTATCTTTTTAAATGTTTGTTTGTTTTTCTTTAATCTTCCTGGTAAACCTTGAATTTTATGTAGGTTTTGTTGTATTTCACATTATCCTGCCTCATCCATTCCTGTATTTTGATAGTGAGTGTTCCAAAACTCTGTTAAATTATTCTTGTATTTTCCTTTTTTTTAAAATAATAAAAGAATCATATTATAATTGAATTTACACCTGATACATTTCAATTGCTATTGTAGCAAATGTGGTCTTGCTGTTTGGGGCTAGAAATAATCGTAAGAATTATACAGGTTGAAATCACCAGTAGAACTCAGTATCAGTTATACCGAAATTAAAATCGTGCTCAATAAGCATTTCTGCACACCAAAATGGTCAGTTTTGACCATATTTTGTTGATCAACTTACTACGTTTCTGGGGGATAAGAAAAGTGAAGGGAGGGATGCAATAGCTCTGGCCCACAGATAGTTTTACTTTCTTTTGTTCTTAAATTTTTTTATATGTGGGTGAGCATTTTTATGTTAATGTTTTTCCTGATTAGAGTTGTCTCCCACATAAGCACACACAGTATCGAGCGAACTCAAGTATTGGAGAAGCCTGCAAGCCCTTTTCTAATAGAATTGACCGAATCCTCTTACCTCTCTCCTGCTCCCGTCTTTGCTGATGTATGAATGCAAATTGTTAACTTTCACACCTTTAAAGATAGCTTACTCACCCTGGTAGCTAAAGTACGTGGTTTTCATTTTAATTTACAACACCTGTCTGGCCATAGCAGTTTCAGTATTAAAGATACACCGTTATCACTCAATCTGTCATTCGTCAGTGTTGCTAAAATTGGGATGTTTAAAGTAACCAGTTTGATGAGCATGCTAACCGTTTGTTTTACTAGAGTCTTTGAAATCTATTCCAGAATTATTAGATAACCAGATAAGTATTTTATTTTAGTCTTAATGAGTTAAGTGTTGGCATTCTACATTCAGCCTTGATTTCGTGCAGTTGTAAGGATTTCGGTGACATTATTAATGTTCACCAATATCTGTATTCCTTTAGTCCCTGGCATAAAGAAAATTACACTTCCCAGCCCCTTGGCAGGTAGACAGTGGCTAGTTGGGCCCAGTTAAACACAAGTGTTGTTAGTGTGTCCCTCCCAGACCAGTCCAGCGACTAACCCATTTCTTTTGCCATGGCATTGTAAAGGAGGACTCAGTTGAAATGGGTGAGCCACAAGATCAAAGTGGCCTTGATTGACCACCTAGTGTGCATCTTGGAAATAACGGAGCAGATCACCAGGAAACATTATTCTCAGCTGCCACTCAGTGTGTTTCCTGTCAACACACCATGTGAACATCACGAGGAAAACCTATTCTCTGCTGTCATCTTGTGTGCATCTTGGAAATAACACTAGTGTAACAGTCACAAGGAAACATTTTACTCTGCAGCCATCTATCTAGTTTGTATCTTGTGGATAACACCAGAATGCAAGTCACTTGGAAAGTTATTCTTTGCCATTCTATGGAACATACTCGGATTAACACCTGAGTGCAGGTCATGAGAAAAACCATTCTCTGTGGCTATTTACTGTGCATTTTGGAAGTAACACCTGAGTGGAGGTCACAGGAAAAGATATCTGCTGTGTATCTTGGAATAAAACCTGAGTGCAGGTCACCGTGAAAATTTCTTCCCAGCTGCCATCCGGGTTGCATTATGGGGATAACACCAGAAAGGAAGTCACCAAAAAGTTCTCTTCCTCTGTCATCTAGTGTGTGCCTTGAGAGTAGCACCTGAGTCGAGGTCAGAAGGAAAAATTCTGTTGCCAGCTACTGTGCATCTTGGCAATAACAATTCAATGCAGGTAAACAGGAAATGGCATTCTCTGCTGCCCTGTAGCGTGCATCTTGGGAATAATGTCTGAGTGGAGATCACAAAGAAGACTCTGCTGCATCTGGGAAATAAGACTGGTGTGGAAATCACCAGAAAACCTTATTTTCTGCTGCCCTCTAGTGTGCTTCTTGGTAATAACGTCTGAGTGGAGGTCACCAGGAAAATATCTTCTCTGACGCCATCTAACGTGCATTTTGAGGATAACACATTTAGAACCCCAGAGCGCGACTGTGTGTTACAGAAAGCTGCTTACTGCTGCCGTCTTGTGTGCATCATGGGTATGACACCTCAGTGAGAATCCCCAGGAAAAGATCTTCCACGCTGCCATGGCAGGTGCAGCTAGTGAGTAAAAATTCTTAGCACATAAAATGTTATTCTCTGCTGCCATCTAGTGTGCAAATTGGGAGTAACATCTGAATAGAGGTCTTGAGGAAGCTACTCTGCTGACATTTAGTGTGCAACCAGTGACAGATGCCTGAGTGTATGTCATCATTAAAGTTATTTTCTGCTGTCATCTGTGCAAATTGGGAATAACATCTGAATGGAGGTCACCAGAAAATGCCCTACCCCACTGCTATCTAACATGCATTTTGAAAATACCACCTGAGTAGAATTCAACAGACCCTGGAGACAGAGCTGCACATTGACCCCACACACAAACCTAGCACACGAAGCCACACCCAACCAGACCCCAGATCTGCAGTTAGGACCCCAGAGCCTGACCCTGGAGTAGGAACTGTACACAGGACTCCAGTTGCCAAATGCCAGACACGGGAGCTGTACCACAGGCCCAAACCCTCACTTTCAACAGTCTCTGGACCCTAACCCGGACCCTGAAGCCAGAGCAGGACTCCACTTTAGGGACCCAAGACTCCAACCTAAAAATTTAATCTTAACCCCTAAAGCCCTATCCCCCAACTCTATACATGCAAAAACTCTGAACACCGAAATGTCAAACTTACCTAACCATAAAACATTACACAACTTCATGAGATTAAATAAAGCACAAGAGAAATAATGCAACAAGAAACAGTAGACACCAGATTGAAACTGCTGCCAGTAGCACACTATACAGTTTTACATCAAAATTTTTTTTCTAAGTTAAAATAGTGCACACTAAAATAATCATAAAATTCAGTTCAACTAATCACAGTTCATCAAAACAGTAATGATTTATTCCTAAGTGTTTTAGAAATTTGTTTTTCTCCTTTGAGCTGGAAATCTGAAGTCCAAATGAGCACATTTGGCTGTGGAGACCTGTATATTCAACATAAGCCATGTTGTTTTTAAATATGGAAGTTTAAAAAAGATACTTTACATTCTAAATTGCCATTAAAAAAACAAACACCCTTCAAGTTATTTTAGTATCCTCTAATAGAAACTTGCAATTTGAGCATTCAGGGACATTAAGACTTTTATCTAGTTTCACAGAATCTGCTCACTTTTGAAAAATATGGTTTTGTTGATTTTTTTAGAGAGAGGAAGAGAGAGAGAGAGACATCGATTGGCTGCCTTCTGCACTGCAGCTCCTGGTGCCCCAAACTTCACCACCTGCTTCCTCCTTCAGCAGCATGAACCAACAGGAGTGCGGCCTTCCAGTTGCCTTTCCCCTCTTTATACCATCAAATTTAATACCATTAAATTCTTAAGTATCCCCCTGGCTGGATGGCTCAGTAACCAAACCAGGGTGGGCTTGATTCCCTGTCAGGGCACATACCTGGGTTGCAGGTTTGATCCCTGGTCAGGCGCATGTGGGAGGCAACCAACTGATCCATGTTTCTCTCTCACATTGATGTTTCTCCCCTTCTCTCTCTCTTAAATCAACAAAAACATATCCTTTGGTGAGGGTTTAAAAATAAAATTCTTAGGTCTCCTTCCCATGTGTGTCTCTTAGGTGGACGGCGTATAGTTTAAACATTTATTCTCTGTTTTTTTTTTGAGCAAGCCCCTGGTATTCTTTTCCCTCTGGTCCATGTGTCATAGGAAAAAATGAAATCAACCCAAGTACTTAACACATTGCGAACCGCATAGAAATCTCTGAGACATACGCCAGGGACCGCACATTTTTGGGCAAACTACACGTTACTTAAATCATCATCACTACAGATCATAATGTACTTTAGGTGTTGTTTTTCAATAATTATAACATTTTTATTTACAAAAACAATTAAACAATTAGGGTTCCTAGTACTTTTTTAACGTATGGTACTGTGTAAAGCATTTTCCTCTATGAAGAGGGACCAAACAAAATTTACACGAGTATCTAGATTCGTTCCTTTTTCCATGGGGGGCACAAACTCTGCAGGCTCTTGTAGGAAATTTTTTCTTTCCACTCGCTGGAATACACGTAGGTTCATGCTGCTTCATATCACCTGACATCCTTTTGGGTGGATCTTTATGAGGTGCTCTCCTTGCACACCCAGGGGAAGGGTTGGAAAGATTTGTCTTTGGTTCCGTAGAGCCTTCATTGTTGTCATCCAGTATCCAGCCTCTCGCCACTGATAGCAGAAACTGTTTATACTTCATTTTTGCTTGTGGATTGAGGATGTCGTATATTCTAAATGAATTGAAAAGTCCAGAGTTTATAAGGTACAGCACTACTTTTTTTGTCCATTTCATCGTTTTCCTTAGAATGGAACTACACAAAAGGAATTGATCCACATGGTCAAGGCCTTTCATGTGGGCATTGTATTCCTTGATGCAGGTAGGTTTTACAATATTCTCTCCCATTTTTCTGTTTTTTTTTCCTGTTGTTGAGACAGAAGTGTCATGGATCGTTGATATCATTCTGACAACCCGCTTGTCTTTCCATGCTAGGAGAAGAATATCGCCTTTTCTGGAAAATATTATGTCACCTTTCTTCATTCTTGATGTTTTCATTTTCAAATTTGGCGGTAAACCTCTACTCTCTCTAATAGTCCCACAGACTCTAGTTTTGTTCTGTAGCAGCAATTCAGCAGTAGATGTAGCATTGTAATAATTATCCTGGTAAATATGGTGCCATATGCCAAGATAGGGTCCAAAGACCNCCTGGTAAATATGGTGCCATATGCCAAGGTAGGGTCCAAAGACTGAAAGGACAGTTTCTTGCAATTTCTTTCCTTGAGCAGTGTATATCTCCATATTGCAGATATAGCCGGTGTCACGCTCACACACCATCCGAACAAGTAAACTGTATTTGGTTATTTTCGCTGGGTTGTAAGTGCAAAATTTTAAACGTCCTCTCCATGGAATCATTCCCCCATCCAAAGACAATTGTTGCTTTGGTTTGTATATTGTTTGAAATTTATGCAGGAAATAATCCAGCACAGCTTGGATCTCGAAAAG